GTTTTTAAGGGGTGCTTTCACCTTGTTCCCCTTTGCTCCTCTGCCTCCTGAGCAAAACATGGGCTTCCCCATGTGACCCTGCAGGATATGGCACTTCCTCTTAGTATCTGAATGACATCTGTTCATTAAAAGGTAGTTGTCTCCCCATCATCTTATCATACTTGATTAAAACAAATCCCTGGTATATTTAATATAAGATACACAATGATCTAGGCATTAGTGTGTGAACCAAAGCATTCTTTACAATAATAACAAAGAATGGAAGACAGTAGAGACAGTTTTTAAAAGTGTATTTTTAAAAATGTACATGGCAATGGTTTTGAGAATAAGTAAAAAAAAATGAGTTATAAAGCGGTACATATACATTTCATAATTTCTTATTCACATGGGCATAGATGTTAGGTACCTATTAATGAATAATATATACCAAATTGTTGATGTGATTACCACTCATAAGGAAAGAAGGAAATAAAGAACATACAAAATCTTGACCCTTCATTTTGCACCCTCTACACTGAGGCTTCGGCAACTATTAAGTTTTCTACATTAAGAAAAAGTCAGCATTCATCATGTTTGGTTACATAACGCCATCAGTAACTGAGGAGTTTTAAATAATATGCACATATGTTCCCATAGTTCTATGGAAGTCTAAGCACAGCTGAGCTAGGTCCTTGGCTTGCTACTCAGTAAGACTACAACGTGATTTGATGATCTGTGTTTTCATATCCTCAACTATAGACAGGTCCACTTCCTTCCCCCATGATCAACATCTAGTTCCCTGTGCCCACATGAATCATGGAAACTACTTCCTCAAAGTCAACAAAGGGCGTGGCAGCAAGACCTAGAGTAAGATGTGCTGAATGCAACACAACGCTATCACAGGAGTGAGCTCACCACTGCCATACCCTATTGGTTAGAGACAAGTCACAGGCCCTGCCCTTTTTCATGGGGAGGAAATTATGGAAGGAATATCAGAAATTGGGTTCCGGGGGCTACCTGAAAGACAACCGATCATAAAAACAAGATGATTATCAGTCCTTGATGGCTATGATCTCCTTAGAAAGGTTTTATAAAGTCATAACCAACTAAAGTCAAATACAACTACAATGTTTCTTTGTCAAGAAAAAAGCCAGATACTAAACACAAAAATGTAATGGTAGAATTTTAATTGAAATAGTAACGAAATTTGGATCAGTGGGTCTTCTAAAAGAAAACATGGGTAATAGTGTGAATGTAAACCAAGGGATATGCAAAAAGAAAGCAAAGAATCTCAGCAGTTACTGGCACTGGAGTTTTTGGTATAAAATGCTAAGTACACTAATGCATGATGCATATTTGGGGGACAAAAAGGAAGCATGATAATAAGGGCTAGAATATGGCCTCATAATACTTCCAGGGAGAATGAAGCGAGGCTGTTTCCAGCCTACAAAGGAACAAAGGTAAAGGGAAGGTGTCATCTCCCCTGAATAGGGATCCCAACAAAAGCCTTCAAAAGGACTCCGCATCTTTAATAATATAAAAAGGCTAGGGCACAAACAGCATCATCTAAAATGCCATTAGAAATGCTTCACATACAAAAAGGTCTAAGTAAAGCAGGGTTTTATAAAGTGATCAAAAAAGAAACACTAAGGGGGAAAATCTTTTAAGATTAAAGAGGTTTTTCAAAGGACAAGTTGAAGTGGCTGTAAAATTTATGAGGCAGCATTAAACTTCAGTTCTAAGTAACAATAAATTATTCACTATAAAAACATACATGTGTCAAATATTATAAGCCTCTTAAACTTTTTAAAACAATTCTTACAGAAGTTATTAGATGTAGTAGGTCAACATTAACAGATACCAACTTCTTCGTTAGCACAGTATGGACCACTCAGAGACAGAAGAGTGAAAGCTGGCTTTGGTGGGCTACTCAGTGCCATGGTGAGCTGACCACATGTGGAGTTGGCCTTCAAATCAATCTCTGTAACTTCAGCTAAAATAAATGTTAGTTTTACCTTTTCAATGTCTCCATGAATGTAAAATGACAAATATCTGTTAAGTAGTACACATGTGGATTAAAGCTCAAACAAAATTTAATTTTTAAAACAAATCAAGCCATAATTATTAAAGGAGTATGAAATACCCTGAGAAGGCTTTATGACCCTGACTGACCACCAGCCGTGTGTCACCAACCTGAACAGAAATACCTTTAGGCTTGTCCTTGCCAGCTCCTTCAGTGTCATGCCTCACAGTGTGTACAGCCACCTCTATAGTGTACAGCCATGTTTCCTCCACCATTTTATAAAGCCTATCCTTCCCTCTACAGTCTCTAAAAGTTCAATTTTTAAAAATTCTTTTGAACTATTATCTCTGCCATAATACACCTACCTTAGAAGGTCTTTACATATAGTAAATTAAATATGTATCAGTGACTAATAATCTTCATTAAAGCACACATTAACTCAACTGAATACAATGACTTAATGAAATTTCTAACATGCTTGCATCTGCTACGAGGAACTGAAAATAAGTTGTAAATATGAAAAGTACCATCCCTACTTCATGAAATTGGGATCTTACAGAAAAGTCAGACATTAAATATTTGCAGATGTCATAAGTGCAACAGAGAAACATGGAGATCTATAGGAAGAAGTAACAGGGTCACCTGAATGGACTTAGAAGTCAGACTTTTGTGAGGTTGTGGATCTGGAAGATGGATAGGATTGATGAGAACCATCAGACAGTCAGTTTTTCCCATTGCTTATCATTTAATCAATAACTAATATCTTGTAATTGAGTAACTATTTTTCATTAAAATTTATTTGATTATAGATAATGGTGATGGTTAATTTTCATTGATAGATGGTTGAGATTTGAAATCATACAGGAGATACACTTCTGATCATATCTTTAAAAATATTTCCACCAGGCATGGTGACACACACTTTTAATCCCAGCACTTGGGAAACAGAGGGAGGCGATCTCTGTGAGTTCAAGGCCAACCTTGTCTACAGAGTGATTTCCATGACAGTCAGGACTGTTTCAGAGTAATCCTGTCTTGAAACACACACACACACACAATTTCCAAAGAAGCTTGGAATGTGGGCAGTACATCAAATGGGCTAGGGTGCTGAGCTGAGTAAAAAAGAAGAAAGTGGGAAGCCAGCTGGATACCAGCATTCATCTCTCTCTGCTTCCTGACTGCAGACACAATGTGCCCAGGCACATAAGTTCCTGTTACCATGCCTTCCCTGAAATGATGGACTCTATTCCCTCAAACTGTGACCTAAAACAAGCCCTCCCTCCTTAAATTGCTTTTCTCAAATATTTTTGTTCCAGCAATGAAAAAATAAAAGGTAGCTAATACAGTGAATTAAAAAAGACAAATTATTTTTGATGTGTAGATTTTATTATGTTTTCACTTTCCAGTAGAGTGTCTGGAGGATTAAGAAATATTATTTCTCCTGGGGCTGGAGAGGTAGTTCAGCTGTTTAAAGTTCTTGCTGCTCTTCCAGGGGACCCTAGATTGGATCCCAGCACCCAAGTTGGGTGGATCACAACTGCTTGTAACTCCAGCTCCAGGGGATCCATCTCCCTCTTTTGGATCCCATGGGCAATCCTGTACACATCATACATTCAACACAGATACACACATATAAACATAAATTAAAAAATCTGGTTTTTATAAGAAGAATATTTCCACTCTATTTTTTCTCAAACTTTATCTTGTGGTCCAAAAAAGAAAATTTCCATTCACCTAGACTATTGCTAATGTCATGTATTTCCTATCCTGAATCCTTTTATGCACACTTTAATCTTCACAAGTATATGTAAAATCACAAAGACTAGTGCATCAAAACCATATGTGCACTTTTCCCATGTAAAACAGGTTATAAATCACATCCCAAGGGCTTAAGCAGGCAACAGATAAGTGATTATGCTGCCAAATTCTAAACTTCCCTCTTGCACAATAAATAAAAGACCTAAAGCCAAATATTGGGGTTCAAACTTCACGTTGAAGATCAGAAAAGCAAAGCAGCTGAGCACAACTCTTACTCTACCTCAGACTGAAAGGCGATCCTGGCTCCACCAAACCTCAGACTGAAGCCTCTCCTCAGCGTGGCTGGAGAATCCTAAGACTTCAATGTCTTCCTATCTTCAGTGTGCCTGGAGAATGAATGCCTGATACTGACTACTGAAGACCTTGCTCCTATCTCTTATACCCCTCTAGTGCTGGGATTAAAGGTGTGTGATCCCAGGTGCTGAGATCATCTTTGTGTGAGCTGTATCTCTTTAGGACTGAATCAATCTTGTGTAGATCTGGGTGGCCTTGTACTCAGAGATCCATCTACCTTTTAATCCTGAGTCATATGATTAAAGGTGTGGGCCACCACTTCCTAGTTTCTGGCTGCTGGGATTAAAGGTGTGTATCACCACTGCCTGATCTCTATACCTTGAGGCTGACTTTGCTTTCTGAATCCTCAGGCAAGCTTTAATAAATCATAACTAATATATCACCATACTTCCCTTCTTTAATTATTTGATCCCTCTACATACATCCTTCTTTCTGCACTTTTGATACAATATGAAAACAGAAAAAAAAATGCTTGAAGGACTATTTAAAGAAAAACAGGTTACATTTTGTTGAAGTCACTGGCAATATTGTTAACATTGTCATAAAGGAAAATATATAATTATGTTACTGAATGTACACTTTCCAAACAATACACACAGAGAGAGAAAGAGAGAGAGAGAGAGAGAGAGAGAGAGAGAGAGACAGAGATAACAGATATTCATAAAATGACATAAAATGTAACATAATCTTACTTAAATATGTAGTAAATTCTTAAGCCTGTTATTTTTACCTACCTATCATCTATTCACAGCCAGCCCTCAATATTAGCAAAACTATAATGTAAACTAAAACATTATTATTAAAAAGAAAAAAGCTTCACTCTATGAGCCCCTTGCAAAAGCAGAGTTAAGTTTTAAGAACTTGACATTTAAACTCCGTGGCATACCTGTGGGCGTCACATGTTGACAGCACCAGCATGTTGTCTTCCCCAGAAGAGGACTGCCATGATTCACTTAATTTAGGTTCGCCTGTCTCCAGTTCACCCATTACCCAGTCGGGTAGCTTCTCTGGACTTGAACCTTTTGGTTGTGCTGGATTTGGTTCATCAAAATAGATGGACTGTTTTTTAAAAACCAGAGAAATCAATCTTATAAAATGTACTATAAAGAAAACACTTAAGTTTTCCACCAACTTTCAAATTTGACAAAAGCTTTTCAAATATTCAATTTAAGTTAATTACAATATATAAAATTTATCATTGAATACATAATAAATTATGAAATATTAAAATAATAAGAATGGCTAATACATTTACATTTCAGTTATGTTCTACTATACAAGAAACCTAATGAACAACAAGATTACATGGCAGATAAATCTGGCAATAATTATTTATATAAGGAAGTGATATTAGTATTATAATAGTGGTTCTCAACCTTCCTAATGCTGTAACCCTTTAATACAGTTTCTCATGTTATAGTGATCCCAACCATAAAATTATTTTTGCTGCTACCTTATAACTGTAATTTTGCCACTATTATGAATCATGATGTATGTTTTTTGGAGTAAATGCTTTGTCAAAGAGGTTGTGACTCCTCACAGGTTGGGAACCAGTGCTTTATAGTTAAATGGAAAACTTTTTAAATTATGTCTTACTCTATTTCTTCCTGTAACCATCAATTAGTCTGCACACATAGGCGCGCAAAATCTCTCAATGAGGTGGGAACTACAAAGTCAGAGACATGGGAGGTCAAGACAAAGCACCAGGCCTTCTTTGTATCATTTGTGAAATAAAGTCCTTCCCTACAACTTTATAAAATTGAATGTGAGTGGAAAAAATGTGACAAAATATATTCATATCCTGATATCTAATGTTCTTCATAAAATATTCCATTTTTAGACACTGAGGTGGCATTAGCCCATTAGTTTCAATGAGACAAGTGCATGATACTGTTTCTGGAGAAAACACTAATTTTGTAACAATTACCTAAGTATACACAAAAGGCTTCAAGGGGCTACTCTTCAGGAAATACTCACACATGAATCCCTTATCTTAAATCAGAAATGCATGATTTCTTTTTAAAGGAGATACATTTGTCTCACTCATGCTCTACTTCTCTTCCCATGGTTTGATTTATCTGCAGTCAACCATGGCCTGATATATTAATGGAAAATTCCACAAATAAGTTTTAAACTAGGTGCTATTATAAGTTGTAATAAACTCTGTTCCACTATTTTCAGCAAGATGTATTCGCACAAGATCTATATACACTGTTGTGCTGGGTAGTTCTATGGCAACTTAATACAAGGTAGAGTTATTTTGGAAGAAGGAAGCTCAATTGAGACTGGCCCATGGGCAAGTCTAGAGGGCACTTTTTTGATTAATGATCGATGTGTAGGAGGCCAGCTCACTGTGCACAGTACCACCCCTAGGCTGGTGGACCTGGCTACTATAAAAAAGATGGCTGAACAGGCCATGAGGAGCAATCCAGTAAGCAGCATACCTCCATGGCTTCTGCTTCAGTTCTGCTTCCAAGTTCCTGCCTTGAGTAACTGCCCTGATTTCCTTCAACGATGGACTGTGATGTGAAAGTGTCAGAGAAATAAACTCGTTCCTCTCCAAGTTGCTTATAGTCACAGCAATAGAAACCCCGACTAAGGCGACTACCTACTTACAGTCAGTAGCTGTCTTAGTTGTCTCAGTATAGTACAAACAACTCTATGCTGTCTGCTATTTTGGGAATCTCCTGGAGATGGGGGATAAAAGCTTCACAGATAAGAGGGAGACTGATGTACTCATTCTAATGTCTAATCAAATACACAGAGTCACATATTTCCCCAATACTTCTGATCTTGACAGTATGTATGTACTCCTTCTGCAAGGGATAATAGCACTAAAAGTTTTTGTGTTCTGCCGCTAGCAAAGGCAATTACCCTCTGGTGTGCAGTATGCTGTGTCACTAAATTTCAATTAGTAAATTGCTAAAATGTAGAGAAATCCTGTATTTTGTAATAATTCTGGCATACATATATATGCAACTACAGTTAGCTGTCCACTTAGATACCATACTCATAACCCATGCAAACCAAGGGGCAAGTTTATGTTTACAAGGAGCAAGACAGGGACAATTCATCAACTAGCCATAAAATAACTGCCTTGTAACAAAGCTGACAATAATTAAATCAACTATAGAAAACCACTTTTAAATTCTAACTTACTATTATCAACAGACTAGCATGAACCTCTAAAAGCCATTACACTGATAATACATTAAATAATATACATGAAAGAATTAATAAACTAGAATTTACTGAAACACTTAAAATATTGAGTCAAATTTGAAAATTAGTAATTAAGGTCAATTTTAAAATTCTTTTTTATATAAGGGAATGTAAGTGAATAAAATATAACAGAATGTTTTCTATTCAAAGTAGGGGGAAATGAGTGAGAAGAAACGTAACGATAACTCTTTCCGCCAGCCGCCTGAGTTCCACTGCCACTTTAGGGCCCCCAAATAACACAGAGTCTTATATTATTTTCAATGCTGCCGGCCAATGACTAGGATTTCTTATTTGCTAGCTCAGTCTTAATTATCAACCATAACTACTAATCTCTATATTTTTATAAGGACTTATCTTACCGAGGATGCTGGCCTTATTTATGCATCCTCTTCCTGGGATCACATGGCGACCCTCTACTACATTTCCCAGAATCCTCCTTCTCTCCCAGTCCCGCCTATCTTGCTTCCCTATTGGCCAACAGTGTTTTATTCATTAACCAATAAGACAAACATATACACAGAAGGACGCCCCCACATCAAAGAAAAGTTTTAACTTATATATTACCTAGCATATATGACTCAGTATTATTTCCCTTCCCAAAGGGATGATACATCACACTCACTTTTAAGAACTGAAACTATTATGCAGTGGTCAATGGTACCTACCATATATGATGGTAATGTTTTTAGTGTTCCTGGCTCAGGACGTTGTGTAAAAGGGCCTTCAAGTACTCCTCGCCTAAGCATATGCAGTAACAGCTTTGCATACAGGTTCCGATTCTTCCTACCCATAAGTCCTGCACCTGATCCTGAGGGCTCACACAGCTTTTTGATCCAAAGAGCACATCTCTGCCGTTCTGTAAGTACATAAGAGCTAAGTGAAACCTGATGTCAATGACAAGACATTAAATTATAAAGACCTATATATGTACCTAGTGTAATCTAGAACAGGAATCAGCCAACTTTTGTAAAAAGCCAAACTGTAACACAAGCCATGTGATTTCTCATGTAACTACTCAAGCTGACCACCTTATCAAGAAAGCATTAATAAACCATATGCAAGCAAATCATGTGGCAACATTTCAATAAAACTTTATAACAAAGAATGGTTGTGGGCTGAAAAAAAGACTGTACACTCCCAATCTAGACTAACTTTGCTGGTTGCAATTGAGCAACACAAACATGAATACATATTTCATAAAAATAAAATTCCTAGTATCTATCTTTGATAGTTAATAAAAATAAAATTTCTGAATACTATTAAACATGTTTTTAGATAAAATTTTTGCATCAATAAACTAACTTTAGACATACTGAAAAGGCTGCCCCTAACTCCTAACTATACAAACACAGACAGATAAAACACACTCTCTGACTATCAAGCAGTAGATTTTCCCTCTGAAATTAAATCCAAACATTTTATCTATTAAAGCCAATAATTCCAAGGGATTGCAGCTGATTTAAGGTTTTCTTTTACTGTCTCTAAAATAATTGAGTAAATAATTTCATGAAATAATTATCCCTTTAAAAACTCTACCTAAATTGCAGAACATTTAATCCACATATAATTTAATCCCCATATAATGACCCATTGAGTGTATTATCTTGCTGTTACACAGGATTTTTAACTCTCACAAAGACTACTCTGATATTTTTATCAGCCTAACTCAATTTGTGGATTATATATATTATACAAATCACTAATCTCTTGTCTTATAAAGGTCATATTCATTTATTGTTTTGCCTACCAAAAAAAAATCACTAAGTCTGGATTTACCACTTTGTAATCTCACTAACAGGCATGAGAATGTAGGCTTCTAAAAAAGTGTACTTTTGCTCTGAAAAGTATATGATCACCAAACAAACTTTATGAATATCCAGTGTACATTATACAAACAGAAAATACATAAGTGGATTGATAAGCTTGAGCAAGTAGTTGAAAATATATTATTGTCATGTCTTCCAGGAAAATGACATCTACATTCAATGCACACACATTAGTACACTAGATTAATAAAGAGCTTAATTCTCTACTTAAAATGGTAGAAAAGTCCACTGTCAAAGGTAGCTTTAGCTGTAAGACTAGATGAGCCTGTACAAATTTCTAGATCTTAAATGGGATGAGTTCTTACATGTTCATTATGAAGTAGTAAAAGATGGTCATGAATGTTCCATATAGATAATGTGTATAGTTATAGTTAAGCAATTCTAAATACCTAAAATCTATTTTTAAAAGAAGACAAAATATGAGAATAGTCTGATTTGAGACACATTTATAATGGGAAATCCTAATACAAAAATTCTTAACTGGCAGATCCAAGACAAAAAAAAAAAGCAGGAAAAAAGTAGTGATTATCATAGTTCTGGGATCAACATAGGTCTCCATCAATGGGAAAATGAATAAAGAAACTATGGTATGTATACACAGTGTGATTTTATTCAGACATAAGAACAAATTCATGTCATCTACAGGAAATGAACTTCAGCTCATCATGTTAAGCAAAGCAAACCAGATTGAGGAAACCAAACACCACACATTTTTCTCTCATACACAGAATATAGACATTAAAAAACAGACATGGGAATAAGAAGGTTCACTATTACAGAAGAGAAAAAAGAAAAGCAAAAGTAGGAGGAGAGACAAGAGAGGATAATAAAGGAAATGACCATGATCAAAATAAATATGATGTTCATAACATGTATGAAAATTTCACAATGAAATCCATTATTTTGTGCAATTAATATGTAGTAATTTTTAAAAGGTAGAATATCAGAAGAAGATATGATATACATGTATCATTATATACTATTAGGAGTCATCATGAATCAGCAATGGATGTGAAAGAATGGAACTTGATCCATGAGATCTGAAGAGCGACAGAGGAAGAAAGGAGGGGCTAAGGACCAACAAGGTAAGAAAAGAGTCATAAGGAGACAGTTCAAGTGAAGGCCAGGGCAGGCTGCAGGCTTGGGAACAATGACTGAGCAAACTGCATCATTTCTATGTCACACTCTGGTCCCTCAATGCAGCTCCTTTCTTAAGTCTGTAGTATTAAATCAGTCCCTCACTTAGAATATAAAGTGAGCTCAGAAGCTCATGGAAATAAGAACTTGGAAGAAATAAGCCAGAGCTTCTTGGGCCCACTCCACACACCCTACTCAATGTCTACCAAATCCTAATCACCCCTATAGTCAATAATACAACCACTGAAGCTTAGAGGATCTCCCTGAGCCTCTCTATTCTATGCAACTGTCCTCCGATGCCTTAAAATGTCTGTACATCTCTATCTTGAAACAGTGTCTCATTCCAAAAGTAGAAATAATAGGACAGAAGTGAGAAGCATGAAAGCAACAAAAACTCATTCATGGTTGATCTTATCAGTCAATCAGATTTTAAAGAGTCAGAGGTTAACAATGGGTGCATGAACTAGAAGTCATTTCCAAAGGAGGAAGAAAAAGACCAAGTGAAGAAACAGAAGCTTTCTGTAAGATCTCATGCTTTAAGCTCATGGCATACATATGACATGGCATCACAATAAAATCCTGCCAAAGCTTAGGGGACACTGCCACTAAATTTTTATTTATCCTGGAACAGCTCAAAGTAAGCAATCCTATATCAATGGTAAACATTAGAATTAAGACATTTTTTAAAAGGGGAATTTCAACTTCATTGTGTGACATTTAATCTTGATTGATTTAATATTGATTCAGAATCACCATGGAAACACATTTCTGGGTGTGCTTATGAGGGTGTTGCCAGAAAGATTTAACTGAAGAGGGGAGACCCATGCTATATGTCGGCAGCACCATGCCATGGACTGGAGGAGCCAGACAGAAACTGAGAAGTAGCATTCACTGCTGTTTCCTGACTATAGATGCAGTGTGACCAGCTGCCTCAAACTCCAGACACTAGGCCTTCCCCACCATCATGGACTAAACCCTCAAACTATGAGCCAAAACAAGTTTGGAAGATGCATTTTATAGGTGTTTTGTCATTGCAACAACAAAACAATAGCTAATATAACTGTTTTGATTAAATAATTTTTTAATTTTAAGAATCTAATTACAGCTACATATGGTGGCACATGCCTATAATCCAAGTACTGGGGAGGCTGAGGCAGGTGGATTGCCATATATTGAAGGCTATCCTGGGCTATATAGTGAACACCAGTCCAGCCAGGGCTATATAGCAAGAATATCTCAAAAACAAGAAAGAGTCTAATTCAAACACTATCTTACCTGACCTGTGGGGTAATTTTAGAACAAAGGGCTTCATATCTACCACAAAGTGATCAAATTCTGCATCCAGCTTCTCCCATTTTTCTTCTTCGCTTTCCATTTCCATAATCGGTTCTGTGAAAGAATTAAAATTAAGCATCAGGTATCTGTATGAGGAAAGCTATGAAACTATGATAAAATACATGAAAGAAAATTTGTCAATTAAATACCAATCCTCCTTCATTGACTGCTAGACTCAATAAAATTCCAATAGGCAAGCTGACTAAAATTTATATGAGAAGATAAAACAGAGTATCAGCTACAATTTTGAAAAATCATGAAGCTGGAGGGTTGACATTACCATATTTTAAGATGTGCTATAGTAGTCAAGACATTATGGTACTGCCCAGAGAACAAACAGACCAGGAAGACAGAAGAGAAAGAACAAAATGGACCAATGCAAACATGGACTCCTGATTTCCAGCAGAGGCATAATCAAAGAGAAATGACAATTTTTATAACAAATAATGCTGTAACAATAATGCTATACTATGCATGAAAATTAAGTCCAAATGAAGAGTGGACCTAAATGTAACTGTAAGAAATGAAAATAAAGGAAAAGATCTCCATGACTTTATTAAGGCAAAAAGAGAATTATCTACAAATAAAAAACTGATATACAACATTGGACTTCACTCTCCAACCCCCACTCCCAAAAATCCCCTGCAAGTTTTGATCTGTGAAGACTCTATTAAGGGACTGAGAAAAATAGAGACTGGGGGAAATTCTTGCAAATTCTGCATTTACAAATAACTTATATCAATAGCACATGAGTGGCTGGGGGAGGATTAGATTTGTTATACAGTGATGTGTGCTGTGAGGCCCTGGTTCAACCTCCAGCACAGAAAAAAAGTATTAGATCTGTGCTACAGTGATGTGTGCTGTGAGGCCCTGGTTCAACCTCCAGCACAGAAAAAATAGTACTAATAAAGAAAATGTGAATAATTCTCATTGCTTAGCCATAAGAATAAAAACCATTTAGTAAACATAATGACAAAAATCAATCCCTTTGACAGTAATTGATTGCATATTTTAAAAAAGAGAGTAGAGATGATGAAAACAAATGAATCCTAAGATTCTGAAATGATGGTTGTACCCTGTTGTCATTATAGACTAGATACATGGTTTTAAAAAACAGTACTGAATCCTCCAAACATGTATAGCTCCTATGTGGCAGTTAAAATTATATTTTAAAGCATCAATCCCTTCCCCAAAGAAAAATTCAAATAATGGCAATTATGCACATAAAAAGATGCTCAACATTACTAGTCACTAAGGAAATGAAAACCAAAACCATACCGCAATACGCCAACAACACATGAGGACAGCCAAAAGTAAGCCAAGACATGCAAAGTGCTGGTGAGGAGGAAGAACACAGAACTCTGGTGTGTTGCCTGCCAGAATGGGAAACAACAAGGGCAGTCTTTCAAAGCTAACCATGCACTCACCATATGACCAAGAAATCCCAAATGAAATGTAAAAGCTATATCCAGACAAAAAGTGCAAACATGGTGCTTAGAGCAGCTTTTTAAAAAATCAGCACTGCAAACAGCCCACAAATTGTAATATAATCACACATACTAACATTGCACTCAGCAACAAAGAATGAATATTGATACACAAAACAACATGACTAAACTACAGTGAAAGAAGCCCTTTTCAAAAGGTTATGTGCTAAGTCCACCGATACTAGTCCCAGAAAGGGGGAAAAAAACTTCAGCAGAGAGAATAGCCAATGGTTCATGGAGGTCATCAGTGAAGGACAGTCTGAATAGAGAGGATGTGTACTAGAAAACTACCAGGGGCATTTAACTGTTCTGCACATGAAATGTAGGTGGGATGTGAAGTCTGTACATATATAAGAATTCACTGAACTCCACACCAAAATCTTAAAGTTCCTCAATTCCTCCCTAAATTTTAAAATTATTAATTCTTCATATATACTGAATATATAATTGGGGTAAAACAGAATTTTGTTTCTGACAAAAACAGAAACAAACTAACTTATGTTAAAATATATCCAGGAGTTAGTGAGGTGGCTCAGTTGCTAAAGAGCTTACTGCTTAAGAATGGGGACCTGAGTTCTGATCCCCAACACTCACATAAAAAAATCCAGCCATGGTCACCTGTGTCTGCAATTCTATTGCAGTGGAGGCAGAGACCGGTGGTTTCCTGGAATTCACAGGATATCCAGTCTACAATAGATGAGTACCAGGTTCAGTGAAAGACCGTGTCTCAAAGGACAAGGTGGAAGGAGTTTGAAATCTGGTCTACACATACCTCTAACCCTTATCGATAGCACAAGCATGTAACAGCATTACTCAGAATGCTCAATGCCTCCCTAGGTTACAGCGTAATCTTGAGGCAAGGCTGGACAATTTATGCAGACTTTGTCTCCAAATAAAACAAGTAAAAATGAGTGTAGTTTACTAATTGGTGCAGTATTTGTCTAGCCTGTCTGAGCCCTAGATTCAGTCTACAGAACCTCAAAAAATTAATTTCATATATATATATGAAATTAATTTATATATATAATTAATATATATACATACATATGTATATATATATATATATTAATATGTGTATACATTCAGCTCAGACCCCAAAACTGAAGAAAAAGAGAAAATATATATCCATAATCAATATGCCCATTTAAACTATGAACTACCATATACTTACATAATATACAATATCCAATTTGTCACATATTTACAAACTAAGGATTGGGAGAAAACTTTTTCTCTGCCTTAAAAGCTGTCCTGTTCCACAACTTAACCTTATCCATGAAAAACGAGTTTCCAGCATTTAGTTTCTCACCAGTAACCTCTACAACCACCTGTCCTGTCTTGGACAAGTTACCCTACCTTTCACCAATTCACTTCACTTCCCTCAAAGCCACGAGAGGGAGCTATGGCCTCACTATTGCACATAAAATGCAATTCTTTTCCATCTTTCACTCCCTCCACCCAGCACTGCCCGGAAGGGCAAACACTGGCTAAGATCCTCCCTGCTGCTTCCCAGCTACAGTTCCTCCCACAACCATCCTCTTTGGAGCCTCCAGGCATCTGGCTACCCCACTTGCTTCCCTTTCCCATTAGGAATACCTCCACCTGACAGTAGCACCTTCTCCTCAGCTGCTCACCTGCACCTCTCCCCTTCCTCCCTCCCTCCCTCCACCTCCCACCCCACCTCCTCTTCCTTTGGAGCTCTCCTTTCCACTTGGCAATGCTGCAAACCCCATTGATGCTGTAACTCCCTAACTAAGGAGCCACTCCTTAGAAATGGCACTGCCTTGGAGATAGATGGCTCTTTGAAGAGTTTACTTTTGATCAGTCCACAAAGCAACTTTTAAAATTTAATATACATCTTAAAGCCCTTAACCAACTGCAACTCTTCTCTCCATTTAAGGAAAAAAAACTTAGTTAATAAAAAATAGATGGTACCAGCCCTATTAAAATGATTCTCCTCTCAACCTAGCTCTGTCTTACATCCTTACCTTGCCTCTATTCCTGCATCCCAAGCAGTAGTAACTCTCCTTTCCAAGGTGATATCTCTTCCTATCATTTATCAATCATCAGTTCCCTACTTCCTCCCTATTTCAAATTCTCCATCTCCTCCATCTCCCCTGGCTCCCTCCCCTCCTATGTCACCCTTCACTCTAGCCTTCCACTCACCAGTCCACTCTTTACTTCTCCAGCATCGTCCTCCATAGGAATTACCTTTCCAATCTAGCATGCTGCTGAACCCTAGAGTCCCCCCCCCCAACCCCGGGATCCAAACATCTAACTTCTGTCTTCATGGTACCACATCTCACAGCACCTTACCCACCTCACATCTCGCTACTCCTAGAAATGCAGCTTCAACTTCAGTAGTTCGCTCCCTCCTGCATTGCTGCCTCCCAGGTCATTTCTTCTCAGTCTCCCAATGGCTCATTTCTCCAGCCACCATCAAGTCCAGATGCTGCATTGCTCTTTCTTCAGTTCTTTTAATCTGACTTTCACCTTCTCTCTGGGCAATCACAATCAGTACTGGTATTTACCTTAAATTTTATTGCTAACTCTACTCTCTCCTTGAAGTTCCAACCTTGTATTTACAACAGCTTCCTGGACCTATTCTGTATTGTCCTGTTTGTTACAAAGTTACATATATCCCAAAGAAAGTTCCTTACAATTGTCCCATATGCTTAGTGGCATCATCTATTTCCTCTTCCTTGCTAGACATGTCAAGGTTTCCATTATGTAAACTCTCCATAAAGCAACCAGGGGCAAACACACAGAAGCCCCAGTTCTTCTATTCTCACTACATTCTATCCGATAAAACCCTTTGCACCACAAACTTGTACTACTACAATGACCCCATGACCTGCCCTCCAGCGAGCCTTGTCTCTACCTGAGGAAAAGTGAAGCTTATCAAAACTATTGCAAATCTCTCTACTGCCTACTACAGGATACTTCCAAACCCTACGTTAGCCGTGCAAGTGTCTTCCCATTTAGGCCTCTCTTCCCACTCTCTGTCTAACTACACAAACCCACCAATGGCCATTTCAATTTCCCCATTGTCACAATGAACTTCTCACCATTCTTCAAACACTCCAAGCCTTACCTAACTCGTTTCCCAATGCACACAGGTCTTTACAGACCCAGGGACAGATATATACAGTTCAAATGTCGTTGCTGAGTGTAGCTAGTCCCACTTACCCTAGGCTAATTGTTGCTCTCATCTTACTGTGTCACTGCATTTACCATACATTTGTATGTCATTTACATACTTCCTACATCTGGGAGCGGCTCTTGGAAAGCAGGGGTCCTGACTTACACCTTAGTAAGCACCTTGCATGTTGTCAAGAACATGTCAGGAGCTAAAGAACTGATTGCTGAATAAACAGATTGGTGTTCAACTTATGTATGACTAACTGCCTTTTTGACAGTTTTTTTTTTTTAGGGGAATACAAGTTTATGTGGGTATGTACAGTTTCATGTGGAGTTTTCGAATGTCTTCCTTGATCACTATCCACATTAATTTTTGAGAGAGGACCTTTCACCAAACCTGGAGCTCATCAATGCAGCTAGGCTATCTGGCCAATGAGAATCAGGAATCCACTTGTCTCTAGGGTTACAGATGCTCACCACCACATTCAGCTTTTATTTGAGTGTTGGGGTTCCAAACTCAGGTTCTCATACTTGAACAGCAGGCGCTTTACAGATGGAGCCATCTCCCCAACCCCAAATGATTGGTTTTTAATGCTTCTATTCTGAACACCAAACAGGTCTTACAGAACCGCAATATTACACATGTTCCTAATTCCACTTGCCAAAAATGGCCATTCTATTTTTTGTGTTTCAAAGGGATGTTTCAATTTTAAGACATGGTTAAAACAAACTTCATTCATGGTTGGGGAGCTGGCTCTGTGGCAGAGTCACTTGCCTGGCATATGTGAGGCTCTGGTCTCAAGCCTCAGCACTGCATACATAATTAACTCATCAAGTAACTAGGTTTAAATCAATTTAACGAATAGTTGATAAGTTTGGAGTTGTGTTTACTTGTTTTGTTTTAAATTCCTACAATATTTTCAGTAGTTGGTGAAAGTACAGTATGATATTATATAAAACACACTATGATAGCATTCTAGACAATAAAGTTGAAAACAACTATTCAAATAGCTAAATAAACCAGTGGAAACTCCTAGGTCCAAAGCTTTAAGCACAGCTCTGCCCTAGACGTACTTCCAGGCTTACACCATCATGTCCATGTACTCAAAAATTTTGCCTAAGCCTGTCGTTTGGTGTGGCCAAAACAAAAAGGTTCCTCATAACCACTAATTCTCAATAAATCCTTTGACATTTGTGGAAATGTTAGTGTTTGATATTAGAGGAGACTAAAACTCAGCAGTTAAGTGACTCACCAAAATCATATAATTAAGCAAAGCCCAGATTAAAATTCTGAAATCCCTAGCTCTTACATAATCTGACCACTTGGCCATTGACATGTAAGTCAGAAATATCACCAACTAATAAAACAGTAATTTGACTAGTAGGAAGGCAATCTGAATGCTATCAGGATATGTAATAATCAAATCACAGAAAAGCAGAACCGGGCTGGGTCAGTAAAGTGCTTGCTGAAGAAGCAGGAGGACTGTGTTTGATCCCCAGTAACCACCTAAGAAGGCAGGCCTAAGTGGCAGACACCTCTATTTCCAGCACCAGAAAGACAGGCTCCCTAGATCCCATGCGCCCCAGCCAAGCCTAATCAGGGAGCCCAGTCTCAGCAAGAGACTCTCTCTCTAAAACAAGCTGGACAGCTCCTGAAGACATCTGAAGTCACATTGACTCCTGGCCTCCAAATCTGCACACACACACACACACACACGCACGCACGCACGCACACACGCACACACGCACGCACGCACGCACGCACGCACGCACGCATACACAGAAACGCGCACACACACACGTGCGCACGCACTCGCAAAAATAAAGTGATACTTAGTCAAAGCTAAAACTCCTTTCTTTGTCCCTTACTCATTCTCCAACAACAAAAAACTATAAATTAACATTTCAATTTTTGAAAGAATTTCTGCTACACAAATTATAGTGTATACACAAATTTCGTCAAGCTATGGAAATGCTTTTATACTCTTCATCAGAACTTCAGGTTTAAGGTATTAAAACTGAAAAATAAGGGCCCAGCATGGTGGCACAAGCCTTTGATACCCCAAATTAAGAGGCAGAGTTCAAGGCTAGCCTGGTCCACAGACTGAGTTCCAGGACAGCTACAACCATGTTGAGAAACCATGCCCCAAAAGTTTTTTTCTTTAATGGAAAAATAAGTAAAGCTCTATCTTTGGTTTAAAATTAAATAACTCGTAGCATGTCTTCCACTGACACAAATTACAATGTGACTACTACATGTACAGCCTACCTCAAAAGTATAAAAAGAATTTGGGTGGCTCTTATATTTATATTCTGTATTTATATGGTGTCTTTTATTAAACTCACTGGTGTCACTTTTTTAAAAAAATCTGTTTCTTTGTGGGCAGCTATAAAACAGGCTAAGACCTGTTTCAAAGTGCTCGGCTGCCATAAAATAGTAAGCCACCAATAGTAACAGCTTTAAAAGAGACACAACTGCTAAGCCAAGAACACACCTCATAAGCATAGTGTGTACCTTGCCAAACGCAATATATTCCTAAAAGCTGTATAAAATGCTATTTTTTGTTCCACCAAATCATATTTTAAATATACTCCAGGAGACTTGAAATGCCAACGAATCAACAAGAGTTACCAGGGCACATTTTTGCGGGTTACACATCTGGATATCTTCCCAGAGGACATCCGGGGCAGCTGCGGGCATTAGAAACGCATCCTGCTATGTCCTCCAGAGCACTTAACCAGATAGCCACGATTTCCACTCTCCTTTACAGGCTGGAGGTTGGGGCTTAGCGGCGGTGTGAAAGACTTGACTGAGTACCAAGCAATCAGCTGGACCTGAACACTGTGCACAGGACCCTGCTCTCCACTTAGCTGGGGGTAAGGGGATGGATGAGCCAGCTTGGCACGGGGCCCACTGGCATTTCGCTTGCCTGTTCTATCTTACTTTCAGTTTCTTTAAATGGTAAAGACAAGCCATAAAATACCAGCATACTGCTCGTGGTGGGGAGAAGGCGCACACGCCCTGTCACCCCCAGCACTCAGGAGGCTGAGGCAGGTGGATCTCTGTGAATTCGAAGCCAGCAAGGTCTACACAGTGAGAGCCAGGCTCAAACACAAAACAAAAGGCAGCTAGCTGTCCCACGTCCTTGTTCTCTGGGACCACTACAGACACTGCTGCCCGCTAAAGGGCCGCGACTCCGGGCTGGGAACCTTGCAAAGTCATGAGGACTTTCTGGAGCCAGCCTGCAGTCGGGTCCTGCTCCTCTCACTGATCTGGGGGCGCTTGAGAACTGCAGCTGTCCCGGTCCCCGCGGTCACTTCCTCCGCCGGTGTGAGCGCCGCCTGCGTGGCCCACCCAGGCCCGGGCGCTCTCCTCCCGGCTCCAGGGCACAGATCGCTCCTCACAACCACAAGCCCCCTACCTCGGGGCTCTGGGCCACGCCATGCCGCCTGACCAAACTTTACTGAGAACTTTCC